CTTAATTATAATACCAGATAAATGTTATTATAAAGCACAGAGGGTGAGTAATTCCTTTTTCCTTTAAGAAGTCAAAAAGTTATTCATTGAAGAATTGATCAAGTTTACTACTCAATTGCAGATTTTAAATTAGTGGCAATCATTATATTTAGTACTCTCATACTCCAATGCTTTTCCACACCCTCAATGTATAGGCACTATTTATGAGATCATCACAGAAGCAAATATGTTGTTCAATATTATTCTCATGGTTTGTAATGGGAAGAGAACCAGACATGTCCCTCAGACTTAGTTCAGCAGCATAAAAGTTGGCTTATCACAGGGACAAGAGTATTATGTGCACTATTCAACTTAGACTAAAAGTTTTCAATGAGAAGGTTAGGAATAATTAGGTAATATGCATTTTTAAACACAAAATGATTATGTGAAAAGAAATGATGTTATTTCAAGCTTATTGTATTTTCCATTTATCAAGGTGTTTTTCTTGTATGTAGGTGATATTTGTTTATTGGTAGGAGATGCACTCCTATTGAGCAAGATGTCAGAAAATCATTATCCTAGCAGCTGGAAATTCACTTGAATTGGAGTTTGTCCAGATAAAATAGTATGCTAAGTAATGATCCAATATTTTCCACATAAATGTAGTATAATAGGATAGCAACATTATTATTTCCTATATTATGAAAAAAATATGAATTCTTTAACTGTAATAAATGAATTAATCTAATAGAATGGTTGATTTTGCTTTTAAGGATAAAAATGGTGATGTATATCATTTGCTTTTTTAAGTAGAAAACACTATTTCTAATTTATGAGTAAAACTCATTTATATTTAAACTAAAACAAGTTTAAAAGGGAGTAGGGTATATGATATTATGTAGCTGTTAATTCAGTCATAACATAAAATGAGCACAACATTATTTAAGTCAATGTCAAGATAAAGATTTACTTATTCACTATAGCTATTGAAGTAATAACACATTAACAGTGATATCCACTCACCATTACCATAGCACTCTCCAATGCCCTAAAATCATTGCATTTTCATTACTTGACAATATATTTAATATCCTATTAATGATTATTCTAAATCATATAAAAATATGGATTAAAAATAAAAAATATATTTTATTGGATTTAGAGTATACTATATAGCATTTTATAAGAACAGTGAAAATTAAAGAAGCCCAACAACCTTAATTTCATTATTGTCTTACTATATTTTTTAATAGAACCAGGTTTGTGTCTATGTGGTGATATGTGGTGTGATTTCAGTTGTGTAGAAAATATTTTCTAGCCCCACAAATCCTCTTCCCTTTCACTTCTTTCTTTCCTCTCTCATATTCCTAATACCTTCATCTCTAAGGTTCAATACTATAGTCAGGGCCAGAGAGTAGGCTAAATATAAGTTCTGTATTAAGGGCATTCTAGCTTCATTCCTTTATTTATTCAATAGAATGCATTATTTAGGAGTCAGTAACTGTATTCTGGGCTACTGATGTAAGGATGGGAAATCCTTGCCTTTGTTCTGAAAGGAAACATGATCAACATAATAGCTAATATTCACTGAATATTTAAACTCTTAAGGAACTTACATGAAGATACTCATTGTATCTTCATAGGAACCCTATACTTTATTGATGAGGAAATTTGTCCTATTGCATAGAAAAATCAGAGCCAGGATTCCAAACCATGTAGTTCGAAGATTCAAACTACTTAACTCCCTGAACCCAGGCACATTGCAATTGAAATCAGAAAGCCTCCATTGAAGAAGAGGTGATCTGGGGAATGTTATAGTCTATTTATGGATTATCTGCTGGTATCTAGTCCTATTAAAGGAATGTTTTTGAGGTTTGCCTAACATATTAAGGGAAATATATTAAGAATTAAAAATATATGAATCACTTACAATCATCCTCAAAGGGATCTTGGCTAATTTGAAAGAAAATTTATAAATAACTAGAAACCTGTTGCATGAAGATTCATGCAATAGGCCTTCCTTCCCTTGACTGCTGGCATCGGTTTTCCTCCAACACCTGGTACCCAGGCCTTTGGTCCGGCCACAGCAGAGAAGCCAAGCCTCTTCTGTCTTCAGATTTCACTCAGCCAGAGCCTTCAGTCTTCGCTCCGTGTCTGTGTATGCAAATTAACCCCCATCTTTGTTGGGTTAATTTGCATACTCATCCGATTGGCTGATGAGTGCAGTGGAGTGACACCAATTTGCATGTTTCTCTTTTATTAGTGTAGATAGCTAACATTTATTTAATACTTCTGTTGTGTCAGGAACTA